ACTTATGATGCTATTTCAAAAAAGCCCAAAGAGAATTGCACATTTTACCTAAGGTTAGGTTGCACGGGACAACTGAGTTACAACCCTCCAGCGGCTTTCCCACTGGACTCAGAATAGAACCAGATTCCTGCCCTGGCCTAAGGGCCTGCACAGTCCTCACCCTGCTCTTCTCCCTGACCACCTCCCACTACTCTTGCCCGTGCGACATCGGAAGCAGTTCTTCAAGCACACCAATCCCCTTCCCACTTCAGGATCTTTGTACTTGCTGTTCATTCTGCCTGACCACTCTGCCTCTAGAGCTTCAGGTGGCTCTCGACCCAAATGTCACCTCCCCAGAAAAGCTTTCTCCGATCCTATCTAAACTAGGTCCCCTCTCCCCACCCAGGTCACACTCCATCACATCGAACATATTTATTCTCTTTATATCAGTTGTTAGTACCTATGTGTACTAAGTATTTCATGCTTAGAAACCGTGACAGTTCTGAAAAAGTCTGATTAATAAAAATCAGGAAATCACATTAATTACGTAATTAATTAAGAACACAGTTTGTCTGGTGGACAGAATCTTTTAAAAGCACCCAAGAGCTTCGGAGAAATAAGTAGACAAATGGGCCATCTCTAGGGGTCCTTCCAGCTCTGACCTTCAAGTCTTTCCATACATCCCACTGTATACTTGTCCCTCCTCAGCTTAAAAAATTTCATCTCTCTGGAGTACAGTTCACACTTCTCATCCCTGCGTTCAAGGTCCTTCCCATCTGGCCCCAATCCACTTCCCCAGGGTATTTCCCTTCCTCCCCTAAATAGACTGTTCATTTCTTCTGGCCAGACTGCTCTCAGCATTGTTCCCTGAACAGTCCTTGAATAGTCCTACCTCCTCCATGTCTTTCTTTGCTCAATTCCCTTTGCCAATTACGCCCTTCCTATTTATTTGGATGAACAAAAGTAATTTGTTCATTAGTAGAAAATTTGTTCAATCGATGGAAATTTATGAACATCAACTTTATGTGTCCACAATGTGATACATATGTAAGCAAAGTACTGGTTCTTTTTCCCCCCATTCCAAGTGCATTAGGAGGTGCCTGCAGAAGAATACAAATGACTAATTCAAAGTACTTGGGGCATAGTGCCTAAGAAAAAAATTAGGCTGCGGAATATGTCCTAAAAAGGAGAATGCTATGGAAATTGGGGAAGGGAGAAAAGTGGCTATTCATGAACATAGTACATATTTCTATTTGCTTGGGTCATTTTTAATATTAGTCTCTCAATAATGCTCTCTGAACTCCTTTTAAGTCTTGCTTGTTTATTCCTAGGCATTCGCTCTCTTATTCTACTGCAAATGCTTATATTTTCTAAACATTCTTGGTTTGTAAAAATGCAATTCATTTTTGTATTCTAATCTTTTTATCCGGCTACATTCCAAACACCTTTATTATTTTTCTAAAAATTTGACTATATGTTCTTTTGGGTTTCTGTATAGTCAATCGTATCTGTAAATAATAGAAGTTTTACTTTTTTTTTCAATTCTTATAACTTATTTTTCCGGTCTTACTGTGCAGGCCAGGACCTAATACCTTATTGCTAATTTTAAAGGGATGTTTCTAACATTTTTTCTTTATGAATGATGTTTGCACCATACTAACAAAGAGATCAAATATCACCAATGAGACAAATTGACAACATATGTCACATGATGTAATGAACTGAGGATACATAACTTGTTTAATATTCTTGCCAAAAATGTATAACATGAACATAGTCATGAGGAGCCAGTTTGACAAATTCAAATTTAGGAACATTCTACAAAACAGTTGGCCTTTACTGCTTAGTAGACTAAGAGATATGACAACTAAATACAATGCATGATCATGGGTTGGATTCTGGACCAGAAACAAAATTTGTAAATACCCATAAATGGAGAAAAAGATATAAAAGAGATAAAAAGTAAATTTGGAAGTATGTTAACACTGGTGAATCTAGGCGAAGGATAATCAGTTTATTCAACTATTTTTGCAACTTTTTTGTAGCGTTGAAATTCTTTCAAAATAAAAGGTTTTTAAAGTTCTGTTTCCTATATATTAGTGAAATTCCCTTTGCTTAGTTTGCAAAAGATGTTTATCGTAAGTGGGTATCGTACTTTATCAAATGCTTTTTCTGCTTTTATGGAGATGACCATATGGTTTTTCTCTTTTTATTTGTTAATGTAATGATCTGTGTTTATAGATTTATTAATATTAGACAGTCCTTAGTTTCTGGAATAAATCCACCTTGGTCAGGATGTATCTTTTACTCACTGCTGGATTTGGTTTGCTGGTAATTTTGCATTCACCTTCTTGAGTGAGATTGGTCTGTAATCTTTTTCTTATTCTGCCCTTGTCTGGTTTTGGAATCAAGGTTATCCTGGCCTCACAGAACGAGGAAGGGAGCAATTCCTTTTCTCTTTTTCTCTGGAAGTGTTTATAAAAGATTAATCAGTTTTTTTGATAGTTACATGGAAAAAAACCACATGAATCTAGCGTCATCCTTATATATGTTTGTCTGAACTACATTACATTAAAAAAGTGCCTGAAATGTAAATGTCCAGCTTAATGAATTGTTGGAAAATAGATTAACCATACAACTGCCATCCTCCCAGGTCAAGGCATGAACTAGAACCAAGGAGACCACCACGGGACACTATCCAGTTGCTACTTCCTCCCTAGCCCAGTGGGTAATTACTATACCGGTTTTCTTAAGAGTCCCTTGCTTGCTTTTCTTTAAGGTTTTTCTACTTCCTTATGCATCTCCTTAACCTACAGTTTAATTTAGTCCGTTTTTAACCTTAGGTTAGCAGAACGAAACAGTATGTAATTTATTTGGTTTCTTTCCCTCATCCTTGTATTTGAGATCCATCCTTTCGTGGTATATTTGTCTACGCTTTGTTCTTTTTCATGATTCTGTATATTCTACACTATGGATATACCACAATTTATTTATTCAATTCTTGGACCTTTGGGTTTCTGCAGTTTTGTGCTAATAGGAACAACGCTCCTCTGAGCTTTCTTGTGTTGGGTTTGGTGCCAAGAAGCACACATTTCTGCCTGGTATGTACCTAGCAGTGGAATCTCTGGGTCACAGGATATGTGGATTTTCCTCTTTAATAGAAACTGTCACATTTTGTTCCAAAATACATGTGCCAGTCTACCCTGTCACCAGAGGGTCTGAGCGTTTACATAGTCCCACATCCTCGACATCACTTACTATCGTTAGATTTTTACGTTTTTGCCATTTCTGGTCTTTTTAGTGGTATCTCATTGTGGTTTACTAATGAGGTTGAGAACTTTTTTTAAATGTTCAGTAACCATTTGGATTTTCTCTGCTATAAGATACCTGTTTGGGTTTTTTTAAAATTTGTTTTGTTTTGTTTTGTCTTAGTCCATTTTATCCATTCAGGAAATGAGCTCTTTGTCATGCTAATTGTGCAAATATCCTTCCCTACTCTATGGCCTGCCTCTTCCTTCTGTTTTCTTTAAGAGAGATTTTTATTACACAATCTAAAAACATAGTTACAGGACTATTCAGGCTTTCTGTTGCTACCTGAATCAGTAATGACAAGTTATCTATTTTTTATAAGAATGTGACCATATCGTTAACGTTTTCAAATATATTATCAAAAAATTGTTCCTCTTCGGGTTTTATGTTTTGAACCTCTGCTGTGACATTGCTTTTTTGTTCCTAATGTTATTTGCACCTTCTGTCTTTTATTTTTGGCCATCTGTCCAGAGGTTTGTCTATCAGTCTTTTCTAGGAATCAACTTTTGGGTCCTTGGGCCTTCTCTCTAATGTATGTTTGCATTCTCTTCCACTGATTTCTGCTCTTTATTATTTCTTTTCTCACTTTCTTTAGGTTTACCCTGTTGTTCTTTTTCTAACTTCTCAGGTTGAACATTTAGCCATTATTTTCAGACTTTCTTCCTTTCTAACATAGGCATGGGTGCTACACATTTCCCTTGAAACACCACTTTCCTTGTATCCCATAAGTTCTGTGATGTTTTTCATTATCACTCAGTTTTAAGTAGTTTTAAATTTCCATTTTGATCTCTTCTCTGTCCTGGAAATTATTTAGAAATGTGTCTTTAAATTTCCAAATAAGTGAGAACTTAAAATGCATATTCTGTTATTGATTTCGAAGTCAATTGTATTGGGATCAGAAATCTGGTCTATCATATTTCAATCTGTAGTTATTTTCACTTTCGAAGTTCTTTAGGGGTCTAAATCTATTGTTTCTTACTCATGGCAGCTTACACGTTGAGTGATTTCAGATTACGAATTTCCCTGATCTTAATCTGTGGCACTCCTGTCCACACTGTGAATACTTTCCTCTAGACAAACTCTGTCTGTGCTTCTGCTGTGAACCAGAGACACTACCAACTCAAGATCCCTCTAGACCTTTCGGAGGGTCTGCCCTGAGGCTGAGACTCAGGCTACTGCAAAGATCTGCTATTAGGTTAATCTATATGAAACTGCTATTCTGGGGGTCAAAAACTATTAAACATCAGCAAATGCATATGGTCCAACCTATACTGTTAACATCTGCCCGCAGGACAAGCCTGTTCTTCCTGTTCACTTTCTACTTTTCTCTCCTACTTAGATTTTGGCTTAAGGTTTGTTTCTTTTTGGGGGAGGGGAAGTGACTTTGGAGATTTCCCAATGTCTTATGAGCTCGGAAATGCATCAAAAATTATATTTTATTCAGGAGTGAATTATTTTGCAGTGGGGTGGAGGGAGGTCCCAGGAATAGCTGGGCAATTGCTGAAATCCAAGGAGAGGTATATTTTTCCCAATGAAGAAATTAAGGCTCACAAAGGTGAAATTACTTACTTAAGGTCACACAGCTGGTAATTGGCAGGTCTAGGACTTTAACCCGTGTATGGTACCAGATACCCAGGCTCTTTCTACTTTCCCTTTGTCCTGCTTTGCCTCCAGGGAGCTGCTTGGGCCCGGGGCTCACCATGCATCCTTACCTGGTGCAGGGGGATGACGAGGAAGGCCCCCCCACCAGCACACTCAGTCACCACTGCAATGAAGTGGGGGTTCACGGCACAGAAGTGATTGTCGTGGACGCTGTGGGTGATGGGCACTGAGTCGTAGCAGTTCTCCTTGCTGGCTGGTTTGCCAAAGACGTGGCGGAACTTGGAGCTCCGGTACTGGGGGTGCCATGACATCTGCAGGACACAAATGAGACAAAAAGAGTGTGAGACTCGCTACCCTGATAACGGGACACATGGGGATCTAATATATAAGAGGGCATGACAGCGATGCACTGTGAAGGGCAATCGAGTGAACAGGCTGTACTTGTGGCTACTTCTATGGACCTGGTGAGATGCGGTGAGATGGTGTATAATTTTTGCTCACCTGTTTGCTTTTCATCCCTTCAAGTATGAACACAAAAAACCATAGAGACTTCACCACATTCCCAATCCACCATCTCACCCACAGCCCAGGCACCCCTCCCCGTCCCAGCCCAGCCCAGTGGGTAACGCTGTGTCCTCTGGTGCCAGTCTGCCTGCTTCCAATTCCAGCTCTGCCTCTTGTCAGCTGGGCAGGCAAGTGACTTAACTTCTGAAGCCACCGTTTTCTCATCTGTAAAATGGGGACAATGCAAGTATCCTTCTCATAGACTTGTCATGAGGGTAAAATTAAATGATACATTTAGATCCCTTGATCAACAGTAATAATTACGACCACTATTATCATCCAGGCATCCTGAGCTGCCCTCACTCCTCGCCCAGCCTTATATTTGTTCACTCAATATTTACTGAGCACCACTGTGTGACTAGGCCCTGTGCCAGGTACAGAGGTTTTGGAGAGAGTAAGCCTGAGCCCAGCCTTACAGGAGCTAGGGGTCCTGTGAGTGAGACCCCTAGGGGAGCCTGGGCCAGTGAGACTCAGGGTACTATACCTAATAATGGAGATTTGTACATGGCAGTCAGGGAGGGCTTACCAGAGGAAGTGACATGTCAGCTGTCATTTGAAGGATGAGTAGGATTTGTATGTTGGCAGGACAAGGGAGCGCTGGAGTAGGAGAAGGGGTTGGGGAAGGAGGCCCAGGCAGGTAGAAGACCCTGACTAAAGTCCTGGAGATAGGAGAAAACATGGAATGTTTGGGCAACTACATGTAATTTTGTAAGATTAGCAAGGAGATGTTAAGAAGAAAATGTATACATTATACACACATATAAACATAAATTGGGCAATGTAAGTGAGGAGAATACAAGCGGAGAAGAGGTAAGTAGGACTGGGTTATAAATGACATGTAAGAGGATGTAGGCCCCATCAGTGGCCAAATGCATGATACCATGTAGCCATCTCTCCACCTCACTGCCACTCAGGTCAAACTCCCTGCCCCCAATCTCGCTGACCCCACTGGGCCCTCCCCTCCATGCTCCCCATGTAGGCTAGAGGGATCCTCTGGACACCAAGGCTGGCTATACTCCTCACCACCTCGGCCCCCACCTTAGATTATCCTTTGTTGCTCCCCATTCACTGCTGCCCTACAAGTTCAAGGGCAAACTCAGCCTAGAATTCAAGGCCTTCTGGTTGGGTCCCATTCCATATTCCATGATTCACTTTTTGTTGCTCATCTTCTAAAGGGTACCTTCTAGATAAAGAATACCACCAGCCTCCCTTGGGTCTGCTCTTCCCTTTCCAGTCCTCTGGGGCCTTCGCCCTTGCCTTGACCACTTCCTTGGCTTGCCCTTCCCAGCTACTTATCGCCTGTACCCATCTCCAGAAGTCCAAATCCCTTCTTTCCCCAGCCTCCAAGCCCCCAGAGTCTTCCTTGGTGCACCGAGTAGCAGAGATCTTGGTCTCCTCTGCTCCTCACAGCTGTCTCTCTTCCCTGCCCTTAGGTCCCCGTTTTGAAGTTTGGTGTCAGGTCTCATCTTCTCTACCATAGCTTGCAGGTTCCTCAAAAAACAAAAAACAAACAAACAAAAAGCCTGGGGCTGTGCTCCAGGAGTGCTCAGCACAGTGTATTGCCTAGCCCAGGCCCTAGGAACTTCCCAGGGGAGGCATGTTTGACTGGATACCCACATGGTCAGGACAAAGAAGGTGTCTTGCCCAGCCTGGGCAGCTGGCCCAAGGCTCTTCTCTGTACTCAGTTCAAAGGCACAAGATTAGACTGTTGACCTCAGGAAGCCATGGTGACCAAAGGCCGGACCCACAAGCGAAGCCCTTACAGGTGGCACATCGGCCTCACGGGGACAGGTCTGTCCTGTGAAGCTCAGACATTTCCACCCTCCAAAACCCCGGCTGCATTTGCCAGAGTTACAGCAAGCAGCACAGAATGCAGGCACTGACTGACTATTTATCACCCATCTGATTCCAGAAAGGTTGTAAGAAGACTTACAGAAATAGGACGCAAGGTAGAAGGAAATGGAAAAGCCATGGTGAGGAAATGGGGAGAGAGGGAAAATACAAGAACAAAAAGAGATCACTCGAAATGTGGTGGTGGGGGGGAAGTTAAGCTATGAATGTGTGCTGCCAGGTTCTCCACACACAGGATGTGGCCCTCAGAGTTGGGCCTGAGCTTCCTAGTCGATTCAATAAGGGAAACAGAATCAGAAAGCGATTTAGTGAGTGTGTAAGATAAAAGCCACCACCTGCTAAGGAACACAGCTTTTTTCTGCACTGGGTCCTGAGAGAAATGGGTCCTGGGAGTCCTCTTAGAAAGGAACAGCAAAGACAAAGACTTCCCTAGGGCCTTGGCAATTAGGTGGCAGCTGAGGACCTGCCTTGGGCCTAGGCTGGAAAAGTAGGGGGGAGTCAGCAGGCTCAGTTCCACGTCTCCTACCCCTGCCTCACCTTTAGCAGCAGCGGAGGAGGGTTGAGGGGTGCACTTGTCTGTGGCAGATGGCAATGCTCACCAGACATTTCACCGCTCCCCTTGCATCCCAGCCTCCTTGCAGTCAGGCAGCCCTGGTTTCAGTTCTTAGCCAATGATCATGGGCAGAAGTGACATGCGCCACTTCCAGGCTGAAGTAGGTAAGACCTGCCTGTGACCCTCCAAAACTCTCATCCTTGGTGAAGAGATGAGAAGGCCATACTTTCTAGATGGTGCAGATTCCATCATCCTGGGTCCCCAAGGGACTGTATGGAACAGAACATCTCTCCCCAAGTGACTCATGTTGGACATATAGCTTAACGGAGAAATAAACTTGCAGAGTGAGCACTGAGGTAGTGGGGTTATCTGTCACAGAGCATAGCCTACCCGTCCTAACACACTGCCACTTGCAGGCCCAACCTATGGTACTTGGCAAACAGCTACCTATGCTTGGTGTGGCCAGAGCACAGGAAGCCTGCAGGGAAGAGGTAGGCCAAGGGCAGGACCCAGACCTCCTCAGGAGCCATATTAAAGAACCTGGACTCTTGAGGGCCATGGGGAGCTGCCTCAGGGATTAAAGCAAGGGAGCGAGGAGACCAGATTTCTCTTTTAGGTAGATCCCTCTGACTACTGAGGGGAAGAAAAGGTGGAACAGGGGAGAGGTGATGGTCGCCTGGGCCAAAGGAGGGCAGAGGGGATGGAGAGGAGGGGACATGTTAGTGAAACACCAAGAGAGGGTCAACCGGCCTTGGTGCTTGAGTGCCCGTGGTAGGCTGTGGGTCAAGGGGGCAGGTCATGGCTGCTGAAATCAACATGACCTGACCACTGTCAACAGTCATAGCCTCTCCAGCCATGCTCCACGCTCTCCCCTCACAGCCTGGGGCTTGGCTCCACGCCTGAGGGACAGCTCTCTGCCCAGGGTCAGGGGGCCACAAGAGGCCTGTGTAACGACTCTCCCTGAGCTCACAGTCACCTCCATGGCAATAACTCACAGTCTCTGGATGGTTGCTACATGCCAGGTGCCATCTCAAGTGCTTCCCCTGCATGAACTGAACAAGTAGGTATTGTCTTGCTCCCCATTACAGACGTGACGCAGGGCTGAGGCAGAGAAGTGAAGTAACGCACCCGAAGTCACACAGCTGGAAGTGGTGGAGTTGGAAGCTGAACTCAGTTGTTCCCGGAGCCTCCAGCTCCAGGTTCCTGCAAATCTGCCACTCTGGCCCAGCCCATGGCCAAGGCCACCACACCTCGGATCCCATCTCAGCCCATGACCATATCACTTCCACTTTACAGAAAAGGAAAATGAGGCTCGGGAAGCCAAGTGGCCGCCCTCCAGAAAGGGGGCTGTCGGCCTCCACCAATGAAGCCAATTGACCTTGGAGCAGTGTGAACATCAGTGAGCTCCTTTCCCCACCCCACCCAGCACCTTATCTTCACTGCCAAGGTTCTTCTAGACCTGTTATCATGGAAGGAAACTTACAGAAGTGGGGGATGGGGCAGCACCAATCCAGGCCAGCCGCCTCGTCCTTTGCTCATGGTATTGGAGTGTGCACATATATATGTGGGTGAAGTTTATGCAACTGTATGTGCAATTGTGTGTTCACTGTGTGTGCAAGTCTGTGCATGAGCACTGCATTCACCAGGGTGTCCATACAAACTCATTTACTCACTCCCGTGGTGTGCACACGTATGTGCATCTGTTCAGGTGTTTAATTGCATCTGTGCATGTACGTGCACATGCGTGCATGTATCAGCACGTGCAAGAGTTTAAGGACTCAGCAATTCACAGAACAGGAGTTTTATTTTCCCCACAAGCAGGCACTTGCCGGGAAATGCAGACTGTAGCGAGCCCTCAGCACTGCGAGGCCTCACCCAGGGGCTGGGCCAGAGTGGCTGATCTAGGCCACCCGTTCTATCCTGCCCAGTCCCATCCAGCTGGGCCCACATCAAAGCCACAGTAGGCCTTCTCAGGTGTGGCACAAAGCAGGGGTGGCATCGATTCTGCTGCCCCTGTCCCATGCTTGCTTAGAACCCTGACGCCAAGGGATTAGGCTCTGTGGGCTGTGAATTCCCCACCCCCCCAAAAGGATTTAGTCATTTCTGGGCTTAACATGCCATCGAGTTGCTTTCTTCCCTGCCTGTTCCACCCCTTACAACTCTTCTGGGGATTGTTGTCCCTATTTGGTGCAGGGGAAGCAAATTGACCAAAATCAAATGAGTAGGATCAATGCAGATAGGAAGCAGAAGCCAAGTCCTGTCCAGAAGCCTTTCCCCCTGCCACATGCTCCTCTCCGACAGGTGAGACAGACAGACAGACAGACTCAGAGACTTCTCAGCCTGCCCTAAAGGCCTGTCTTCCCAGCCCAGCCCTCAATCATTGCAGGACAAGGGTTAGCTGCAGGGTTGCTCAAACAGAACACAAACTGGGTGTGGTACAAACCAGCATAATAGATTATTCATTAATTGCACTGTTCCTGGCCTTGGGGAAAGAATGAAGTTACCTGATTTAGTGTTGGAACATCCGGGTTGGGTAGGAGTCTGGCGCTGCTGGTTACCATTGTCCCTTTGTAAGTTTGTGAGTCCACATCTAATATTCGGAGTTTTATTTTTTTTTTCTCTTAAAACCTGACCTTGTGGTCAGTGAACTAGCCCCATACCTGCCTCATGAGAGGGTCTGAATCACACTTACGTCAGCCGCAGTTAACAGAGGGAGATTAGAATCACAAGTTTCCTAGCTTTAAAAAAATATATATGTGTATGTGTGTGTGTGTGTATCTATTACTCTAAGAGTAAAGAACACTCTATTTGAAGGTAATCTACAAAAACCAATAATTAAAACGATAAACACCTAATTATGGGCAAGTCCTCACCATGACTCCAATCTTTGACCAACTGTCATCCATCATGGAGTTTATCCTGATCCTGACCTCGGCCCCAAACTTGACTGGGAAAGCTCCTTCCTAATGTGTCCTGAGTCCTTATTAGGGCCTCTGATCAACCCAGTAGGGGGTGGGATATCTGACTCAGGAAGCCAAGGCCCACTTAAGGTCAAGGCCCACCTGCTGTCATCAATTCAGGTCTCTGTTAAACCAGCTATTTCTCACGGAGCCTTCCTTCCTCACCAGGTCTTAGCTGATTCTTCCTAATGAGACTTTTATCCACAGTCGTTTCTGTTCATCTGAGGCCAGGCCCTGGGTTAGCTGTCACTTCTTGGCACAAAGTGTCTTTATTTTTGCCTTCCACAGGCCAGCGACAGGATCTGAAGTGACATGGTGGGACTGAGGGAACTGGGACCCCAGGGTCTCACCGTACAGGCTTCGTTTTCTTTCCTCCTTCGGAGTAAGTATAGGAGCCTTATCGTTATCCATGGAAGTCGGGTGACCCACTTTCTTGGTTGGCCTGGGGTCGGGGGAGGGGTGCATTCCGGGATGCAGGACTTTCAGAGCTAAAATCTGGAAAGTCCCAGGCAAACAGGGACAAGTTGCACACCCTACCACCTACCACAGGTCTCCAGAAAACTTTTATGTGATTTACATGCAATGATTCTATTTTAAGTCACTGGTATCCCTGACTCTGACAACTTGCCTGTGAAAGAGAAGGTCCTGGAATTGACTTCTTAAAGAACCCAATATTCTGAACCAGAGAACAGAACATTTCGAAGCAGAAAAATCCAAGAAAGTTTGTAAAGAGAGGTGAATATCATTGAACTCAATCACCAACCTTCATCATTGTTGACTTAGTACTTATTCTGCGTCAGGCCCTGTGGTAGGGGCAGGGGTAGGGAAGCCAAAGATGAACATCAGTTGAGCTACTGCTCTCCACGTTTATATTTCTCAGGAAAATGGCCAAGAGCAGAACAAGATAAGATGCCACGATCTTGACATAGGACAGTGGTTTGCAACTTTGAATGCATATTAGAATAATTTAAATCAAATCACTGAGTGTGGGACCCACGCAGCAGCTCTGTCCACCATGGGAGCCTCTAGTCACGCACGGTTTCTAAGTTAAAGATAAAATGAAATAAATTATAAAATTCAGCTCCTCAGTTACACTGGTAATATTTCAGGTGCTCAATAGCCACATGTGGCTACTGGGTATCCACTTAAACAGTGTGATTACAGAACATGTCCATCATACCCACATGACTAGGAAAGTCACTGGTAAAATCGAGCATTGTAACAAATAATAGCTAACACTTCCACTGTTTACTATGTGTGAAGAATGTTCCAAGTACTAACCCAACCGTCATAGCAATTCCATAAATACTATTATCCCATTTTTATAGATGAGGAAACCCAGGCACAGAGAGTTTAAGCAATGTGTAAAGATCACACAGCTAATAGGCAGCTGAGCTAGAATTCGAAGCCAGGCCGTTTTGTTCCAGGTCCATACTCTTTCACAAGGATGCTCTGCCAATTAAATGAGATAATCCACACAGCACATAGAGCAATGCTGGGCGAACACTTAGTGCTCAACGACTATTTGCTGTTAAGATTGTTGAGGTCCTAATGTTGACAGGACGCTAAGATTTGATTTAGTACATGACAGGTATATGCTGAGGGCGCAAAATCGGGGGGATCTGAGTGAAATTCCCAACCAGAAAGTGCAAAGCAGCCCTCCAAACACAGAGTCCTAACCCCTGGTGCTCACCACATTGATGGAGGGAACAGAGAAGCCTAGTAAAATGCTAACAAACCCTGCTAGTCAGGAAGAACCCAAAGAGCATGTATTTGTGCATCTTTCTGGCAGGGTTCTCCAGGTGGAGACCAACAGACAAGCTCAGCCTCGTGTTCAGGGGCCTTGGGTTCTGGATAGGAAGGGGTGGCATTGGCACGGCCCCACCTTGGATGTCCCAATCACATCAGCAGTGGAGGCAGAGGCACCCTGCAGTCACTAAGTAAAAACAGTCGTATTTTCAGGTTATCTCTGCCCCAGTATCCTCCCGCCTCCACCCCTATCTCCTCTCTTCTAGCCCTCTGCTCCTTCTGGTCCAGCACAGATGCCTCACCACAGGCCCACAGGAAATACAGATTGAATCAGAGAGAGAGCCAAGAAAATGCCTCATTCTTCCTGAAGCGATTAGACCTTGAGGGAGCACCTCCTGACATCTGACACTGCTCAGATCTGGGTCCCTAGGACCTGAGGAGGGGCAGGGCACCTCCTGAGGTGGCCAACCTCCCCTTCCCCACAGCCCCCACCTGTTCTCTACCCCTCCCTCAAGCTGTGCAAGGCCTGGGTAGCCTTTTCTCTCGGCGACTCCGTTGCTCATCCACCCCAGCCCAGCCTTCAATCTTGCCGTCACCATGATCAAGTCATTTCCCTTAAGATCTACCCAGGTTCCCTCGGTCCTGAGGATAAAGCTTTCTGCTGAACTCGAGTTGAGGCCCCGCACATTCCTCTGACCGCCTTTTCCTCATCTCTATAGACCTGCTCCGTGAGCCAAGTTGGTCTTTCGGCTTTCCCCTCAAAGCATCACGTTTTCCCAGACACCCCTCCTTTGCTCACACCCCTTCTCTCTGATTCGAACCAAGTCAACCCAAATGAGTCTATGGTTGGCACTTAGCTGGGCTCCTAGGATGCCTTCTCCTCTCACTCCATCTTCCTGGGCCCAGTTCAAGTAGAATCACCTCCAGGGGCTTCCCTAGTTCCCCAGCCTGAATAGTCTTTCTAGCCTATGAGGTGGCCCAGGGCAGGGGGAGAGGCCCACTTGTCTCTGGGCCTCAGTATCCTTATCTGTAAAAGGGTACCCTAATATCCACCAGGGCTTTGCCAAGGATTAAATTAGAGAACATTTAAAATACCTTGTACATGCTTGGTACAAGTAGGAGCTCAGCTGACGGATGCTCCCTTCCCTTCCCTTCCTCCTGTCTTGCTCCCTGTGTTTTTTCCTTCTTTTATCCATCCATCCATCCACACGTCCGTCCGTCTATCCATCTATCCATCCATCCATCCATCCATCCATCCATCCATCCATCCATCCATCCACACAGCCATCCATCCATCCATCCATCCATCCATCCATCCACACAGCCATCCATCCATCCATCCACCAACCTACGCATTAGACTGTCAGCCCCAAATAGTCCTCCACTTCTGCTTTGCCCACCCACAGGCCAGATCTCACAGGCGGGCACCCAGGGGGAGACCGACCTGGCTCCTGGACTGAGCTTTCATTAGCACCACCAGCCTCTTCTGACTCCCCCTCTGGGCACTAGGAGCTGGAGGCTGGGCCTGTCCTTCCATAGCAGATGTGCCGTCAGGTTGGAGAGTCCTAATTCTGATGCCCCTTGTTCCACAACCTTAGGCAAATCTTGTTCCCTCTTGGGTTTTGATTTTCCACCTATAGAATGGTTATACCTCTGCCCTGCCCAGCTATTACATTAGGACGATCCATTGAAGGCTCTGAGCCCACACAACAGACCCCGGGACCCATGAGGGCAGCAGAGCTGTCTGCCTGGCTGCTGCCCCAGGCCTAGAAAGGCCAGTGATTTTCCTGCCATGACCCTCTGGAGACACAGAACAGAGCTTCTTCCTGTTCCTTCCCCCACATTAGGCCCTGACCAAAACTCCATGCAGATTTATTGCCCAACAATATCCTTATCTGGGAGTTTCGAGAGATAAAGTTTACTGAGGACTTTCTAAAGACACCTCCAGGAGGATGAAAACCTAGAAGTTCCACTTCTGGCTCACCATCCATTCCCTGGTAGAGCTTCTGGATCTGTCTTTGGACAGAGAGGGACATTGATGCCCAGAGAGGGACTAAATGCCTTGCTCAGGGTCCCACAGGAAGCCGGAGGCAAGGCTGAAGCTCTGTAGCCCCGTCCTGGTATGGGCATCTGGCCAGGACCTGCATTCTGTTGTCGGCAAGTCCCTGGCTCGGACCCACAAATCAGCTCTCACCCTGCTCTGCTGCAAGGGGCCTGGGGCCCAGAGTGAATTCAACTAGCATCGCTAGGGCCCTCCTGGAGCCTAGGAGAGAGCCAGTGATGACCTTGACAGGGGCCTCTGCCCCTCAAGAGCTCAGATTGATGGGAGAAGCAGACATGTAACCAGCAAGCTCAATTCAAGGCAAACAGGCTAAACAGGATAAGGCTGGGAAAGTGGAGAGAGTGGAAATCTAGGGAGTCAGTGAGGGCTGCAGTGCAGATTTTTGAGTTAAGCCTTAAAGGCCAAGTAGAGCGAGCCCAACACAGAGTGAAGGGAAGGCACTCCTGATGGAAGGCACCGTGCTCAGCCACACCTGGTCCGGCCATACCTGGGAGCACTAAGGCACAGAGAGGCATGTAGTATGGGGTGGGGAAGCAAAAGGCACATCTGGGAAATACAAAGAGTCTGATTTGTCTGGGGTCTGAGCAAATACAGAGAACAATGAGGGCTGCGGCTGAAGTGGTAGCCAGGCGGGGGGGGGCTCTGAGTACTGGCTACAGAGCTGGCACTCGAGATCAAGGGAGGCGTCAATGTTTGTAACCAGGGGTGTGACCTGGTCACAGCTGAAGTGGATTTGGCCCTTGCAATTAAGTAGTTAGAACTTTCGCCCTGGGAAAGTATTCTCCTCCCTCAACTTTGGGCTTGTGTCTAAGGAAGAAATAAGTGGGGTTCATTTCACACCCAGCTCCGACTGGCCGAAGGAGCCGTGGAGCACGGCAAGGAGGAGGAGGAGGAAGATTCTGAGGTCTTCCTTGTCTGGACTCGGGAGGAAAAGAGCATGGCTGCTTTGGGAGGAGCGTGTAGAGCTGCCGGATTTACTGACCAAGAGTCAAGGCCTGATCTGCCTCTACAGATCTCTGCTCTTTGAAAGAACAACCACGTGGGAAGGCCAGGCCTACAGGCCAAATCTCAGCAGCTGGGTTTTTAAATTAGAAAATGGTTTCCTTTCATTCTTCAACCTATTCCCGGTGGTAAGGGTCCCCAGAAATCACTTAGGCCTGCCTGCTCCGGAGCACGCCTGGCCGATCCAGTACTCCGCTTCCTAGCTCAGCCACACATATAGGAGGGTGATGGGAAACTCCTTCCTGCTTTTCCCTCACCTGCTTATTAACACATTGCTAAATGCCACTGCTCAGCCTTAATCAACTCCTTAGGCAGCGTCGGCAACAGCTGCCAGGAGAGGATGATGGGGCCGCCTTCTCCCCATTTCCAGCCTCCCTGAGCTCTGTCCAAACCATTTGTTCAGACTGGCAGGAGGCCCAGCTGAGGATGAAGAGGAAAGATGTCAGGGCCCCAGGCTGAAAGGGCACTTCCTCCCCAAGACTGAGTCTGCCAGGACTGGTGACAGTGTCTCCTTTACATTTTGCATGAAATTTTCCAACAGTGGGTCTCAAACTTGAGACTGCATCACAGTCACCTAGAAAGCTGATTAACACCCAGACTGCTG